TGTTAATATGCTCATGCTCAGTGCATGGGGGAAAAAACAGTTCTCATTACAAAGGGGGTTGTTCTTAAAACTGAAACAAAGCATTTAAGCATACAGTTTGATGAGTGAAATGACCTTGGTAGCAAATTGATATTATAGGAGATGATGAGCATATAGAACTTATATGTAGTTGTTAAGACAACAGGCAAAAACAAGGAGATCGTGAAAACCAGCTTGGTGTGCTTAACCCAGTCACTCTCTCACAGCCCTAGGAAAAAAAACAATGGCAAAACACTTCTGAAAACATTGCCAAGAAAACTGTATGTCTAGGCAATTGTTACGAGTTAATGCTGATTTAAATGTGCGTGTGCACACGCACATGGACACAATCACGTTTTTATTGTTAAATTTATTTGCCACTCATCTCACCGCTATATACACATATTTATAGACTGAAACCTAATGATATGCTTCCAATCTATAACTGGTCAGACTGTTGATCTGCTTACTTTTATGTAAAGAATACAGTTTAAATGATATTTCTATCTGCTTCAGTACATAGAATATATTTTAACATGCAGGTTGAACATTACATTTTTTTCTCTGCATAAAATCTCTGAATTGTCTAAAACATGTTTTACAATGAAACAAAATGAAAATAAGAGAAAATACTGTAAAGGTAGTACCTCTAATCATGTTAATAGTAGTTCAGTTATGTTTCTCCTAAATAATCTTGTATTACAGAAGATGGGTGCAGGGAAGCCTATTCATAGTCCTGCATTATACTGGAGATTGAAATTGTCATTATTTTCATTCTGTGTTGTGTTCCTGTACAGAGCTTTCCAATCAGTGAAAGTAAATGCAACTGAACAATGTTATGTATAAATACTGTTTTATTGTTATAACAATTACCTTTATCCAATTTTGTGAGTTAGGGAGATGGTAAACAATAAATAGAGACAATGAAAATTCCAATACAATTTAGGTACAAGTTCAATTTCAGCACTTGGGATTTATTTCAGAATGCATAAATTACCAAGGGAGGACATGCACTTGCAGAAATTAAATTATGTCAGAAATATTGACAGATGATAGTCAGAGCATACTCCTAGCCCCACGCTAATACCAGTTCAACTTTGATGCCATCAAAAATTACATGTGCATTTGCACTGGAGGTAGCACCACAAATGATCAAAGCAAAATAAATTGCTGTCTTCAGCTCAAGAAGTCCAAAGACAAGGGAGAAGTGCAGGGCAGTTTTGCAGTTCATCATTGTTAGTTTATCTAACCTGAGCAGTACATTTTATATTGAGAATTCTTCTCTGTGTTTCCTTGAAAAAAATACAGTCAGTATATTCAGCCTGGAGTGCCACCAATCAGATTCTGTTGCTTTTTGTATTTGTCAAATTATGTTTCTTAGGAGAAAAAAACATGTTCTTAAAACTTTGTGTATACCTCTGGTCTAAATCAACTGCAGCCGGAGATAAGGGTTATTGAGGTTGCAGCCTAAAATATCTGTAATCATTGGCTCAAAGCAACAGAACAATATAAAATTATATTTATCACTTTGTGATTATTTCCCTCCCCCCCCCAAAAAAAGAGAGTAAGTTCAACGTCTTATTTTCAAATAAAAGATGTGGAATCTTCACTTTGAAAGAAATGTTATAACTGATTCAAACACTTTTAACATTAATAGCTATTTCTAGGAAATTATGTTATAGCTATGAACAGCTTGACAATGAGGTTGTCGTGCTGCAGGATTAGAAACCAGTGTTTCATGCCTCTCCGACAGCAGACAAATTTACAGTTCAAAATCTCACAATATTTTGGGATGAATAATTTTAAACTACATTTTGGAAACCTTGCTGTTCCTGTTATTAATTTTTTTTAAAAAAAAAAAAAATCTAGATCTATGGTGTACAATGTAGACCAATGTTTCCCAATCTTGAAAATTTTAAGACATATAGACTTCAACTCCCAGAATTCCACAGCCAGCATGGAAACCATATATAAAACATGAGTATAGACTTAAAAAACATTGCTGATATCAATAGAATCTCTGCTTTCCATTATAATGGGGCTTTTGTAAAAGCTAGCATATATTTTTTGTCTCTATCATCCCAGGAAAAAGACTAAGAAATAATTTTCTATATGCATTTTATTTCTATTTGCAAAACATTGGGCTTTATGTTTTATAATATCCATTTCAATATTCACAGATATCTAACTATCTTGGGATCTAGTTCAATTTCTTATATTTCCATGCCATTTTTCTTTCCTATTAATATTCCCACATGGAAATACATCATGCTGCTAAATTGATTTTCAAAAGAATCTTCTTTCATGTAAGTTGTTTCATTTCATAAAATCCATCAAAATTTCAGACAAAATTATAAAAAAGAAATCATGTCTCACATGAACTAGATAGAAAAGAATGCCTTGAATATGCCAAAACTAAAGAAATGCACTCCCATTAATATTAGGTACAGAAATCTTTAAGAAGAAATTAATACTAGTTATTAAGAAATTATTTTAAAATATTACTGTCATATAGAGGTATGACAAATTAAATCAATGAATAAAAACCATATTGCAGTATATCAACCTTAGTAGCAAACCTATAGCCAAATAAAAGCCATAAAATGAGGAATAATAAGTAAAAAAAATACTGTAAATATTCAGTTATGAGGAAAGAAAAAAAAATCAGAAGCAAAGAATTCCTGCCTAGTCAGTATAAATGTTGCACATTTATTTTGTAAGGTTCTCCCTAAAATTAACCTATAGATGTCATTGTCACCTTGATTTAGCTTTCAGTCTTATTTTTATTTAATCAAAAGTTATTGCATGGGATCCCTGTTCTGTTCTGGACAAAATTGTAAAAAAAATTTGCAGCGTGGGACACAGTAACTATATGACTATAGTTATCGAAGTCTTATTATCATCTTCCAAGGTCTTGCTCTGCAGCCTTATCAATGGATGACTATCCCCATCATTTCAAACTCCAGACAAAGACCCGCTGAGTCTTTTAACATTGTTTGCCTGCTTTATTTCTATTGTTTGATTACATGAGGTTTTTTAAATCTTTCATCTCTGTATTTTCTTTATTCATTGGCCTAAGAATGGCTGATGGAAAGGGGAAGGGGAAAAGGGAGGGGAGGGGAGGGAGGGGGAGGGAGGGAGGGAGGGAGGAAGGAAGGAAGGAAGGAAGGAAGGAAGGAAGGAAGGAAGGAAGGAAGGAAGGAAGGATGGATTTCATTTATAATGTGCCCAGCACCAGGTTGCAGTCCAGCCACAGTAAAAGTTAACAAATAACAATTTAGCTGCAGTTAAAAAAAATATTCATGGAGAATAAAATCAATGCATACCAAATATTTTCTCCTTTTAAAACTCCTGTGAATGGAAGAGTAATCATATTTGTTGGTGAATTGACTCCAGCAACATGTTAAACCCAGCAAATGCTCTATTAACAATTTGGAGCTGGTATACTTATTTTAAGGAAATTTCACATTATGGAACATTGACCCTTCAGCCATTACAGTTTAGTTAACTAAGACCTATCAGATTTTCAGTGATACAATCTTCCCACTTAAACTCTTGAAGTTTTATCAGAGATTCAAGCTTTATCAGGTGTTCATCTGAATGTATGAGAGCTTGAAAATGGGAACAGAATAAGGCTGGCCAAATATCTATGCATGGAACTAATAGTCTGAAGAAAAGTTGCATTTCTATTTGCTTGAATGGATGGACATTGTGAGTACAGTTCTTTTCACTAATAAGGCAGATCATTTTTAAACTTTGTTGATGAATATTGGTAGTCAAAGAGATGCAAGGTCTATCTTCAAAGACTGAAAAACCTTCACCCATTCAACTAACATCTGAAGCGACCCCAGATAAGTTTGGGAAGAAGACTTTCAAACTTTTTACATTAACCTTGATTTTTTTTTTTTGAATCTCAAGATAAATTTGGTTGAGCATTCACTTTTATGTAGGGAGTTATGCATAACTTGGCTTCAAAATATATAAAATGTTCTACGTAGCAAACATTTTTAAAGTACCCAGATACAAATATCATTTTATTCTTTGGTCAACTTCACACTAGTAGCATTAATCATACATTCCTCTTGCTGTCAGGGACAGCTATTCAAATGTACAAGTTTGAAGTAAGGAAAAAAGATTATAGCTCATCCATGAGTATCTGTTCCTAACCTGGTCTTTCAGGACTTCCAACAACACACCCATCGCCTATGTAACTGACTCATCAATCTGTTGCAACTGTCCTCTTTTTCCTCTTCTCTCCAAATTTCCCAGCAGCAGAGCCTTCTGTAGAGAGCTAGCTACATTGTGTAATGTGTCCAAAGTGGGATAATTTGAATTTGGTCATCTGTGCTTTGAGTGAAAACCTCGGATTGATTTATTTGATGATTGATTTGTAACTTTTTTTGTTGGTGGTTATCCATCATATTCTCATGAATCTGCAAAGTTTGATGCATCAATATTCTTCCTATCCTGGTTCTTCAAAGTTAATTTTCACTTTTATAGGGAACACCATGACTTGTTCAGTTCTAATCTTTGCAAGTATAAATGCATCATGGTATTAAAATATATTCTCCAAGGCTTTTTTGGCTGATCTGTCAAGCACTAGAAGGAAATCCCACTGAATCTTATCAGATATATTTCCTATTTAAGGATATAATTTTCTAATTAATTAAACACACTTACCCTGCACCCACACACCAACCGGATGTGCAAAGTGGAGCTTTCATTCCATTGTGAATATCTGCTTTTGAAAATAAGGATTTCCACTGATAAAGCATGATAGCTAGTGGCATGGAGCTAAAGATTTGAAATACCAGCCCTATCAAATGAATACATTTTCACTTTGACTAAAAAAAAGTTGCATAACAGAAACATAATGATCCATAATAATAAGGATCAAAAGACAATATGAAGAACTATAGCTATAAAATCCACACACAAAGTACAGGATGCTTACAAATACTCAACAAGCTGACAGGAAGTGACAGAACAACACATCACTTTTATTGTAGACCTTTAAATGAAAATATTTCATGTCAATGTATATCTTGCTTGAAGGGCGAGAGAAATTTTAAGTGGCCAATGATCAAATCCTCCATAAAACAATATCTTCTAATTAAATCTTCATGTACCTTTTTATGTGACATTTCACTAAGTATCATACTTTGGGTCCAAAAGACACCTTCAGGAAAGAACAAGGTAGAGAAAGGTTACAGGTTTTTTTGACTGCGGAAAACCTTTAAAATATGAAATAGGGGAATATTATTGCCTTATCCTCTCTGACCACTTCCTCAACATAGCATCTATGAAATAAAATGCTTCTATTAAAATTCTTCATGGCTTTTCACCGAATTTGTAATGGATGCCTAAATAAGGAATCTAACAGATAATACAAGTTATGACAAATGTTAGGCCTTAAAGATTCTGTTGAGTTCCTGACACTGACTCAGGCACCCTTTTTTTCACCATTTGAACTTTACCAATGTCATGAAAAGGTGGATTAGAAAAGGACTGTGCTGAGTCCAAAGCTTTGGATTTTCAAAGTTTTTTTTTTTTTTTTTGCTCCACAATATATTACTGATATTACTGAAATCTAATATGCCAAAGAAATAATGCCTGGCTGCTTCTGAGTCATTTCAATACTTCTGGGGGATTTTACCCCAAATGGATAGATAATATCTATCATTAATAGATATTAATTTATTAAAAGACGCTTGCTCCTGGGGAGGAAAGCTATGGCAAATCTAGACAGCATACTAAAAAGCAGAGACATCACCCTGCCAGCAAAAGTGCGTATAGTCCAGGCCATGGTTTTCCCAGTTGCAATGTATGGCTGTGAAAGTTGGACCATAAGAAAGGCTGAGTGCTAAGGAATTGAGGCCTTTGAACTATGGTGCTGGAGAAGACTCCTGCGAGTCCCTTGGACTGCAAGGCGTTCAAACCGGTCAGTCCTAGAAGAGATCAACCCCGACTGCTCTTTAGAAGGCCAGATCCTGAAGTTGAAACTCAAATACTTTGGCCACCTAATGAGAAGGAAGGACTCACTGGAGAAGGGCCTAATGCTGGGAAAGATTGAGGGCGATAGAAGAAGGGGACGACAGAGAATGAGATGGCTGGATGGAGTCACTGAAGCAGTAGGTGTGAACTTAAATGGACTCCAGAAAATGGTAGAGGACAGGAAGACCTGGAGGAACGTTGTCCATGGGGTCGCGATGGGTCGGACACGACTTCACAATTAACAACAACAACAAATCTATCACTATTTGTTGCTATAAGGGCCACCTGTACATGCATGCATGCAGACTATCATTCCTTTAACTCAAAAGTTCATGTGTCACCATTTTGTGACAAATTGCTAATAAATATTCTAAAACAGGGATCCTCAGCACCCTCAGAAATGCTTGCAATACTGACACAGTGGCAAAAATATCCATTTACATTGGTAACATTGACCTGTACTACTGCAGAGTGTCTCAAGGGGGACCTCAAGAAAGACCCTACTGGTAAATAGACATACATTCAAAAAAGCAGTGAGCAACAGCAACCCAACACATGATTTTCCAAAAACAGGTCACATTTTCCAAAAACAGGTCACAGTATACTGCAGGAAAATGCTTTTCTTCGCATTCAATATTTTAATTAAAAGTATACAAAATATAATTAAATGGGATAGACAAGTTTGGTGAGCACTAAGAAACATATCATTGAGCACTTGGTTAATCTCAAGCAAAGGAGCCTGAACCTTTTAAAATATGTTGTCATTTTAAAAAAGCAAACAAACCCTAAATGCTCGTAAGTTAGGGTGGAGTAGATATTGATAGGCATTGTGGTCTGGAAATCCATCTCATATATTCTGAAGTGTCCTGTATTAAACCATAAGACAGAGGTTATTATTCTGTGCCAGTTCAGATAATGAAGTCATTATGAACTTCACTTTCTTCACTATAATGACTATTTCTTCTGGACATTCATGAGGACCAAGCATATTATTTATGCAATCTAATTGTCTACCATGGCACTTTTAGGCAATGTTGATGATATCAGAACACAGCATTGAAGAATGCCTGTCACATTAATGTATAACAAAATTGACATTTCTTACCATTTTTAAGAACCATCTGTTTTGTTTTAAGATCGTATCAGTTTTTATTGCAAAAGGCCAATAAGGGCCATTAAGCAACAATTGGTCTTAGACTCTTCAGAGTCAATCACAATGTAGACATCACTAGAGATCTCATTTTCCTTCCACACTAGATCTGCAGGGCAAAGAAGACAAATGAACTATGAAAAATATAATCATGACTTTTACTGTTGCTTTTTGTCATAACAAATACATTTATCTAAATTCCATTAAAAGGCACATTTGGCTGCCAAGAGCATAAATATATACTTTTATTAGTTTTACAATTTTTTCAATGTTCCCTCCAAAAATCTTTCACATCTTTTAAAGCAACATATCTAAAAGACATCACTTAACTATTTTGTTTACGTCCCCATATAGTGATAAATATTGTGTAATTAGGTATGTGAAATCAGGTTAAATACAAGATTTGTCAAGATGTAGATAAGACAGATTTTGCTTCAACTGTACTTACAAAAAGTAAAAATAAAGTTTATATAAAGAACAGTTTTTAAGTAAATATATAGCAACACATATCCATTTCATTATTAAGTGGATGGTAGGCAGGCTTAAATGAGAAGTGTTCCACTCATATTTGGTATTTTGTATTAAATGATATAAAGATTTAACTGATCCATTTGATTCAACATATGCATTATATATATGTTCAGCAAACCTTCACTTGGGTAACTACATGATATGTTTAAAAATGAAACAGTTACAAGACTAGAACTCGATGAATATGCCATAAAGCTACCAAACCATACCCTTGACAAGCATTTTGAATTAAGTTCAGTAAACCTTCCTAATTTTCACTTATTTTGAGATCAAAGCCAATAGTGGGTCTAGATCCCATATTGCAATAAGATGTTCTACCATCAGGTTTGCAAAACCTATGTCCCTTTAGGCTACGTAGATCTCCTTTTTTAAAATATATTTTATTAGATTTTATATGGGTAGGAAAAAGGTGGAGTCAGTGAGGGTAGAGGAAAATCGGGATAAAGGGGACAGGGTGTGGATAACTACAGTAAATACGTAATTCAGCGAACAAGTTGTCGTCTGGGTCTTCATATTGAGTATTATTGTTTATATAATACTAGACATTTATAAGAATAAATCGGTATAGTTACAACTGACATTTGGTAAAACAGTAATATTCCTTTAAATAATTAACATAATTAATAGCATAACAACTATTTCCAATCATCAAGCTTAATACTTAATATAATAAAGTTCTAAAATCTCTTCTTATTCTAACGTGTTTCAACCCACTGATAAAATTTTCCCCAGGTTTTATAGAAGATTGAATCTTCTTTCTCCTTCATCTCTAACGTTAATCTGTCCATTTCTGCACAATTTAGGATTTTCAAAATTATAATCTGGTCTGATGGTAGATTTTCATTTTTCCAAAATTGGGTGAATACTATTCTTGCAGCTGTTAATACATGTAATATTAAATAATCGTTTTTTTGCCATAATTAGGTTGTAATATACCTAACAGGAACAGTTCTGGTTTAAATTCTATCTGGATTTTCATCATCTTTCTAACCATCTATGAATCTTAGACCAATATTTTTTTGCAATAGAACATGTCCACGAGGCATGATAATAAGTACCTGGTTTTTGCTTACATTTCCAACAAGGCTACATAGATCTCCTATTGCCTATTACAGCTCTATTAGCCTGAGACTTCACAAGCGAAATAGTGCTAGACTCAAAGGGCTGGTTTCAGACTGGAGATTCAAATACTTTTCATCAGTGGTGTTATTTATGTGTAATCATAAAAATTAAGAAATCTTAAAGATTGTTTCAGATGTTATTTATTTATTTATCAAATTTCTCCACTGCTTATCTCACCTAAGTGACTGTGGGCAAATACTGTGGGCATAGATGAAACAGAATGAACAACAAGGTTACAATGAAGATGTAAAAAAAAAAGTTAAAAGAGGTAGCTGGAGTCTCCTCAAGCCTGTCACTCTTAGATCTTCATGCCAATTGATAGAGTCAACCTTGAGATTCTTCCAGAAAGCCAGAAGAGTTGAGATTGGTCTCACCTCTTGGGTAAAATGTTCCACAGGACGAGGCAACAGCAGAGAAGTTTCCCCCCCCCCTCCGGATCCTATCAGTTGAAATTTTTTGATTAACATGATCTCAGTATATACTCTAGCCTCTAGATGAGATGGACAGCACACAAATTAAATAAATAAATAAATACCCTCCCTGCCTCACCTGGTGGGACAGGTTGATCTAATTGGGATGAGACAGTTCCAGTGCAGATACAGATCCTGACTCAACCTGCTTTTTCAAGTCTTTAGTCCACTAACACAGAGGTCCCTAACCTTTTGGGCACCAGAGACCGGTGCCATGCAGAAAGGTTTTTCCATGGACCAGAGGGGGTGTGGTATTGAATACTACTTGCATCCCGAGGATGGAGCTTTGCTTGTTTGTGCGGCCCGCTTGCTGGCATGCTGCGGACCAGTGCCAGTCCACCGACCAGGAGTTGAGACCCTTGAACTAATAGACTTGAACTATACTGTTAGAGCAATTAGATTTAAAGTTCTTCCTGTCCTCTTTCCTTCAAGGATAATACAAAGTAGAAGAAACCATAGCTAACAAATAAAGAAATGAGAGGCAAGGACCACAGTGAAAAGTTCAACCTCTTCTATTGAAGTAAATATGCTTCAATGAAAGACATTTTTTTTCTTTGCTTAAAAGAAAAACAACTACAAAAAGCAGGGTTTATGGAAAAACATTTCTATTCTACATATAGTTTTGGCTTGCTTCCACAAAATGAAGAGTACAATTGCTTCAATTTAATTACTACCCCATGAAGCATTCTGACAGCCCCAATGCAATGCTTAGCAAGCGTTTTGCCTCAGACAGCTTCAAGATGTATTGCAGCATGGAAATTACAATACATACCCTGACTTGTTCTGTCATCTGACTTTGAGAAAGCAGCAAGCTTGTCTCTTTAATAAGCTGTCTGATATACCACCCATTTCACTGTAAAAACAGAGGTAAAATGTAAGTAGCCATAAGTTACCAGTCATAAAGTTTAATTTTATAATACATACAGGGCTATTAGAAGTATGTGTGGGCCTGCATACATAGGCACAAGCAATTCGTGTTTCATTTGTTTAATAGGTAGATTGTTCAACAAGGACTTCATTCTCATCAATCAGGAAAAGCAAAGGCACACCAGTTTCCAATTTAAAGTCAATATGTTACCAAATCAAGAATGAAAAAGAAACTAGCAAATGATAGTCTGTCTTTTTAATGAGCAGCTTTTTTTTTCTTTATTAAAATACAAATTATCTCACATTTACTTCAATATGTTAAAAAGGCGCCTACTATTCAGGTTTGGGTATATGCCAATACATTTAATCAATTAATTGATGGATTAGTTAGTTAAAGGGCACATGATAAATCAAGGTGCAATTTTTTTCCACTGGTTGACAGCCCTAATATAAAGAATAGAATGCACACATAGACATGCAGGCACACCACACCCTGTTTGCCTTAATTAGGAGGATTGCAACCTGCTAGATTTTCCAACCATATGGGAAAATTTCAGTTGGGACTGTATCAGTTTCACAATACTGAAAAAGACATTTTCGAACTTGGTAATGAAGCCTTTATTAGAATAGAATAGAGCTGGAAGGGACCTTGGGGGTCCTCTAGTCCAGCCCCCTGCTCGAGCATGGGATTTCAGAATACTGCTTTATTGGTTTTGTCTTTACCAATCCCTTTAATGACCAATATAAAAATTATATGTCTGCAGAAATATTGTGACTTTAATGACTGGCTCTGCCAATTGGCATGAGGGTTAAAAAATGTTAGGCATTGAGAACGGTTGGTATCATGACAGTGTTCTCTCTAGCTTTTTAACTCTTAATACGTAACCTCATCTTTTCATTCTGTTTTTAATTTTGTTCTGATTCATGTTTTTTATATTTTGATGTATTTTTAACAGGAGTCAACCAAGGTCTCTTAGGTGAGATAGATGATATAGGAATGTGATGAATAAATAAATAACCAGTATCAGATACACCACAGTTATTGTGCCCATATTTAAAAGCTTAAAAAAAAATGGATCCAAATGTAGACAGGTTTTTAAAGATCAATATTCAGCTGAAGCCAGAACTTTTCCTATTAGAATTAATGGATAAACAGAAAAAAGCTTTGGGATATTGTTTCAATAAATAATCACAGCAACATGATTATTGTATGCACAGAGATGGAAAGATTGGACACTACTTGCTATAGAGCACAGGTATCAAACTTGCCATGTCACGTGATGTGTCGTGATGTATTGTGTCCTTTTTTGCATTGCTGGAGCTGGGGTGGGTGCAGCCTCCATATGATGCAACCGGGCCATGGGCCGGCAGTTTGACACCTCTGCTATAGAGGAATGCTTGGTGTAGTTGACAGATTTTTGCTGAAACTGATAAATTAGCTTCTTTGATTAGAAAAAAAAGGTATTATCTACATTTATTACTGACTGGAAACCTTATAGACTTTTTGCATAAAATGAAAAAAATTAACTTATGACAAGATTTTGACAATTAGACAGGAGAGATTATAGAAAGAAATTATAATGCGATATAATTTTAGAGAGGCAGGTCAATATGTATTTGTATTTATAACTGCTATGAAAAATATGTGAAGCTGCTTCTTTCTTTTCTATTTTTCTTTAGCTTTTTTCTTTTTCTTCTCCTGCATTTTCTGCTTTTTCTTTGACTTTTTTTCTTTTTCTTTATGTCCTTTAGTTTTTGTTAGCTTTTACCTCCTTTAAAAAAACTTAATAAAAATATACTTTAAAAAAGAATAGACTTGAATCAATAGCTGCTTTTGCTTTTAACATATTGTAGTGCAAGCTTGCTTAATATTTGGAACAGAGATTGGATCTAGGGCAGTTTGCCTAATTTAATGTGATTATGATGGGTAAAATCATTGGATATAATTATGGGCAAATGAGAGGTAAAAAGTTAGTAGCTGTTTTTCCTTTTTTTTTCTTAGAATTTGTATGGAGCTATTTCCTGTGTATTTTAATTTTCAGATAGGGCACATTATAATTTAAGCTTTGCAAATAGCATCACAATTTAACAATGTAATATTCTGCATGAATAGTTTGCCATAGTTATATGCAGTGCTTTTTTTCTAAAAAAAAAAAAAGGTGCCAGAATTCACACACGTCATACAACCCTCCTTGCTTACCTTACAAGGTTCCATCCAAAAAAGGTGCCGGAACTCCATTCTGGGCGTTCTATGGGAAAAAAAGCCCTGGTTATATGTAACCATACAGTACTTTAAAAAGAAAAATATGCTAGTCATGTCAGAACACGGATTAAGCAAAAGAAGCATGTACTTAGGGCACCAAGGGAAGGGGTGCACCACATAGTAGTTTTCCTTTAACTATCAGGAGCTTACCTCATTCACTACCACACAGTAAACTTTAGTTTTCAGCACTTACTGAGTCTTACTGTCTTATGAGTTAAGACAGGGGTCTTCAAACCTGGCCCTTTTATGACTTGTGGACTTCAACTCTCAGAATTCCTCAGCCAGGCATGCTGGCTGAGGAATTCTGGGAGTTGAAGTCCACAAGCCATAAAAGGGCCAAGTTTGAAGACCCCTGAGTTAAGCAGTTAGAAGGGCTCAGGGGCACCATTGTTGGGCTATGCTAAGGGCATCATTTGGCCTTCATCCAATTTTGATAGACCTTCAGTATTTCTTTAGATACATCTGCACATTCCATTGCAGAATGGAGACATGTAGACAGAGTGACCATGTCTCAGTTGAAAAGATTCAGATGACTATGAGAAGACAACCAAAATTCATAAAAAAATCTTTATCCTGGAATTACTTACCAACGTATCTTGCTTAACCATATGTAACTCTTTGATTGGATTGAGAAGATATAGTCAAGGGTGTTGTTGGTAAATTAAATATTTACCAAACATTTAAGTCATTTGGTTGAGATGGGTGGCCATAGATATTAAATAAATAAGCAAACAAACACTACAAATTATTATAAGTCAATTAACAATTACTCATTATGAAGTTGAATAAGTTAAATAATTTTCCCAACATGTTTACCAGTGAACTGAGCCAATTGTAACTTATTCAGCAAATTTAGTTAAAGCAAGGTTAGATTAGCATAAAGTGTGAATTCAACTCATGTCTAGGCAAAGACAATCTGAACTCTTTCAAGACTTAGGAGTATTGAAAAGATTTTTCCCAGATTTGTTTCTAGTTTCACATTAATTCTCTCTTAAAACGAAACCTACTGTTATAACAGTCACATAAGAGATACTTAAAACTTTTTCTGCTCAGTGTCGTTCTATGCAGGAATCAGATTTGTAAGATGTTCCAAGGAATATACAGGAACAGGGTAGTAGTACATGTACTTCTCTATATAATCCAACACACAATACAAAAATATTTGCAAAAGTATTTTGATAGTAGTGGAATAACTATATTAATTGTCAGTAACACTAAGACAAGAAATGAAGAGCTTGACATTTTGAATTAAAGTGAAACAGATCATCATAACAAATATGACTCAGCTCTAAATCTCATATGAGAGTTTATTTTTTTCATAAGTAAACCCTTCTGTCTTTTTCATATTATACTGAATCGATTAACGAAATATTGCTATTGTAGGAAGATGATATCGTCACTCAGCTGCTGATGTAAACCTGTTTCCGAAATGTCTCATTTCACATCACTCTCATAATTGAAGCAATTAATAAGACCAACAAAAATAATCAGCCCTCTGTCCTATGCACACTAAAATCCAATCACGTAGTATCAAATGTAAAAACTAGGCACAGATTTATTACGTGACTGAAAATTAAAGCTTATGATTTGTGGCATCATTTTATTGTTGCTAAATTCACGCCTCGGTCCTCACTGAAGCTAGTCAACCTCAGGAGATTAATAGCCACAATTGCTGACATCTAGTGGGAGGTGATTGAGGAGGGAAAATCCCCAAGTGTACTTTTAAATATGGGCAAGCTTCCTTCCTGATTTGAGGAATATATATTTGTACCAGGATACCCAATCAGCAACCATACTGTTGTACAATAAACCCCCTCTCCATGATGGTCTATGCTATAGACAATGATTCCCCCTTTCTCAGCCATTCAAGGTAGTCCAGACAAGAAACAGAAACTACATGTACAGTACTAACACTATCTTTATTGTAAGGTTGCAGTAACAGAACCTTTCCTCCTTTTTAAAAATATTTTTATCTCACCTTTTATTATTTTTATAAATAACTTCAGCAGTTAAAGAACTGAAATCCCTATAAGTACCTAATATTTCTCTTGTCAACGCTGCTATTATTGAATATTCTTGCTTTGACAATATATGCAGAACTGTCTGGTATTTTTAGAGTTAAATCAGGTGACAGTGAAAGGGGAGGAGAATATAAGGAAAGCCGGGGGGGGGGGGGAGAAGAAACGGAAGTAAATCTTTGCCCTCCAAGTTAATTGGAAGATGTGAATCATGACCCCAAAATAGGGGAGGGGAAATGCCTGGAATGTTATGTGCAAAGGAAGGGAAATTCAGATCTTAGCATTCCACCATGCCGTGCTGACATCTCTGTAATACTAATAAAGGCTTTTTAGGTTAAAAAAATGCCTGAAAGTTCTTTGAAGTGTTTCATTAATCAGACACATGACATCTCCATCTTCCTATTTTCTCCACAACATCAACCCTGTGAGGTCAGTTGGGCGAAGAGAGAATGGCTGGTGGTCCAAAGTCACCCAGATGGCTTTCATGCCTATGGTGGGACTAGAACTCACAATCTCCTGGTTTCTAGGGTCTCTTCTTCTCATATTCCTTTTGCTTTTATGGGACGAGATACATTTTGCATGACGGTTGTTTAGTCTGCAGCTCTTCTTCCTGTCTGCCAAGGTCATTCCCACATACCATAACACCCTTCCCTTTCAGTTCACTACATAGTAGTTGCTGGTATTTTTCTTAGTAGATCC